ATAAATAAAGACTTTAAAAAGGTTACTTCTTAAAAGCTTATCTTTATATTAATAATATATAAAGTATCTTTATCTTTAAGTTATATAATATTTATAATAATCTTATAATTAAAATAACTTTTACTTTTAATTAAGAACTTAAAATATTATAATACTAGCGTATATAATTGATAGTAATAATAAAATCTTCTAGGTTTTTTAAAATTATTATATTTATATTATTATAATTAGTATTCTTTAAGAGCTAGTATAAATAATTTATATAAAGGTGTCTAAATTATTTATAGATTCTCTTAAGTTTAGCCTTAGTAAAAAAGGTTAATACCTCTACTTATCTAAGGTTAAAAAAGAATATCTTTATTTTTATATAACTAGAATATATATCTTATCTTTCTATATAATAGTATTAGTAATATTAGTAAAGTATACTTTAACTTAATTTATATTATATAATAAGAATAAGAATAGTACTAAGGTATCTAGAATATAGTATATAACCTTACCTAGCTAATTCTTTATCTTTATAATACTAATTACTAAAATAGATTTACTTCCCTTAAATTATCTATTAGCTAATCTTAGTATCTAAAATATCTTTATATATAGGTTTTCTTTTAAGTATATAAGTACTTATAGTTTCCTAATATTAAAAAGCTTAGTAGCTTTAGTATCTTATAACCTACCTTAGTATATTATATAATAAAGGTCTTTAAGTATAAAAAGGCTAGCCTTTTCTTTTTATTATCTAGAAAATATATTTTCTTTTATTATATTATAAAGAAATACTAATATCTATAAGGATAAAAAGACTTCTTAGTACTCTTAATTATTTTTATTATATAGATTACTTTTATATTTTCTTTTACTAGACTTTCTCTTTTTATACTAAGAAGGTATACTAAGAAATCCTTAAGTAGTTCTAAGAAGAGTGTTTTATATACTTAGAGGTATTAATTCTTTATATAATTATGTTCTTAATTTAAATAGTTAGTTAACTATTAACTTTTTTCTTATATATAAAATATTTTTAGTTAGATATTAATTACATTTATAAGTGTGTAATTATTTAATTATAGTAATAAAACAGGTAACCTACGTACTATTTTATATAGTTATATTTCTTAGTTTTCTTAAGTATATTTATATAATAAGGTTTAAACTAAAAAGGTGAACTAGACTTTCTTTTATAAAATAGTCTTTAAGAAGGTTTATTATATAATAGTTATTATTACTATTATTTATCTTTATAGTTAGATATATATTTCCTATTTATAAAGTTAATATTATAGATAAGTATTTCTTTATTTAAGATAACTAAAAGTAATACTTTTAAGTTAAAGAGAATTCTTTATATATATAATATATCTTAAGGTTTATAAGCACTATCTTAAGCTTTAGTACTTCTTTATAAGCCTAAGTAACTTATATATAAAGTATTAGTTCTCCTTAGAACTTATTTCTAAGGGCCTTTTAAATAAGGGGTAGCTTATTAAGAAGTGTCTTAAGAACTTTTAAAAGAGATTTATTTAGACCTTTTTATCTAACTTATATAAAAGATATAGTAGTCTAATTAGTTTAGTAAAGACTATAATTAATACTAGTATTAAAATATATATTTAGTATTTTATATATTTTATTTTATCTTTATATAATATACCTATATAGTAAGTAAAATAATATAGTAAGTAAAATACTTTTACTAACTTTTTTACTTTTTTATAAGTTTATTAAGTAATAATATATAAAATTAATTAAAACTATATTTTACCTTTTTCTTTATTACTATCTTAAACTACCTTATAGGTTTATATATTATATTTAGTCTTTTTATAATTACTATATTATTATATATATAGTTTATTACCCTTCTTATAAGCCTCTTTTTAGGATATTTTCTTACTTCTAGCTTTAATAACTTTTTTTTCTTCTTATAGTGCCTCTACTTTAGTTATATTAAGTAACCTTTTAAGACATAGTTAGGTCTTTCTAGCCCTTTAGTACTTACTTAGTATATTTATCTTTATATAAAGTCTAAGGTTCTTAGCCTTAATAAAAGTAAGCTTATATACTAACTTACTAATATATTTAGCTTAAAGATTAATTACTTTATATATTAAGGTTAGTAAGCTTTTTTAATATCTTTAGATCTTTTTTTTTAGTAAACTAGTACTTTATAGACCTTTTAGTACTATAGTTAGTATCTTTAGGTCCTATAAGCCTAAGCTAGTTAGATATAAGCTAAAAGGTATTAGTATATTTAGCTTAAGATTTAAGTAAGAAATAACTACTTTAAGGTTAAAAGGTATAAGGCTAGCTTATCTAAAGCTAGCTTATATATTTCTTTTTTTCTTAAAGTAAAAAATACTACTTTAAAGGAAAAAGAAACGTTAATTTTTATAATATATAAAATTTATATTTATATTATCTTTTTAATTTCTTTACTATATAAGAGCTTAAATTAGCTAAAATAACTAATATTAAAAGGCTAAAGATTATATAATAAATAAGGAGGTATATATAAACTAATAATTCTTTTTTTTTATAAAAATTATTAAATTTAGTTAATTTATAGTTATTATAACTATTAAGAATTAAAAGTTAATAAGTACTTTTTATATAAACCTTTATATACTAGTTAAAATAATTTAACTAATTTAAGCTAATTTTATTTATTATTTATTTATTTTTACTTAAGTAAATATACTATTTAGCTAAAAATTAGCTATTTTAGTACTAAAAAAGAAAGTAATATTTACTTTTTATATTAACATATAGAGATACTACCTAGCTATTTATATATATATACCTTAAATAATAAAAACCTATTCTTAATTACTAAGCTACTTTATACCTATTCTTAATTACTAAGCTACTTTATATAAAGCCTTTTTTTATAATTAAAAGTTATAATAACCTTTATATATAATAGTATTTTTCTTAAGAACTTAGTCTTATTAAGATTATAAATATTATAATTATATATCCTATACTTTATAATTATATCTTATATAAGTATAAACTAGCCTTATATAATTATAAGATTTTTAGCTAAAGCTTTTTAATAGTTAATTTAATATTAAAATTATATTTTTAATTAAGGTTATTATTATATAAAGTTCTTTACTTATTAAGGTTTAATATATATTATATTATATTTATTTAGGACTTAGTTAGCTATATCTTATATATTATCTTATTATAAAAAAACTATTAATTAATTAAGTTAATAACCCTCTTAAGAATTACCTCTTTTTTTAATTTTATTTTTTTTAATTTTAAATATATATTATCTTATATAATATATATATTATATTAGTTAGAAAGAGATATTAGGGGGACCTTAAAGGTATAAGCTACTATTTATAAAGATATTTTAAGGTCTTTTAGATACCTTAGAGGGTAAGGATAATTTAGTTTTCTTTAGAAGAAGAGTTTATGTTTATACGTTAAGAAAAGTAGATATAAAGGTTAAAGAGGTAAAAAAGTAGTAGAAGTGTTTTACTTACTATATTATTCTACTTACTATATAGGTATATTAGCCCTTATAAATCTTAGATCTAATCTAAAGAGAAAACCTAAAAAGAATAAAGTCTTAGAAAGTAGTAGCAAGAAAGGCGCTTCTATAGAAAGTAATAAGAATAATATATATAGTAACGACTGTGTATATTGCTGCTATAGCTGCTAATGAATGATGGTGTGTGATGCTTGATGTGTTCTCTTGATCTGACCTTCCTGTGACTGACTATTTATAGTCTCTTGTTGTCACGTGTTCCTTTTGCTGATGGCCAAACCCAAGTTCCTGATCACACTAGTTAAAGTAGAAGTTGGTAATAGTAGAAGTTCTAAAAGTTATAATAAAAGACCATAGGCACTTTTTGAACTTATAGTAGCCTAATTACTATCTAATACTATAATCTTATCTCTATGTTAGTAGAAAACTCCACTGTCAGACATCTGACCGTAACCTCTTAAATCCGTTGAGTAAGTACTTAAGAGCTTAACAAAAGCATCATAGAACGCAGTAACATCCTTGGAACTGTAAAGAGAAGACTGCAACTTAACAATCACTAGTGGGTCACGCGTTGTATCGTCCCAAATCTCAAGCACCACGTCATATGGCGTTCGTTCGCGCGAGATAAGCTTAGTGGCCTGTAAGGCGCCTTGCTCGGTCATGACTGCATCACCGATACGCACGCTCTCAACTCCGCCCCCGGCGTAGTCGAACACAGCTTGGAACAATGGTGCATGCGACCAGTCCTTGGCTGATACTTGGAGACTTGGAGTCACGGGTAGACGCTCCAGCAACACACCGTACGGCACGCGCGAGTGCAACATTGCCCCGCGCATCGCCTTCTTGACGGTATCGAGCTGGTCGACAGGACTGAACGACGATCTGTCTCCCTTTCGTCCCGTTTCTATTCGAACAGGCAATAAGTTGGCAAAGAAGCCCATTGCGGCCATGTCCTCCATTGTAGCGCGGTTGGTGTCTGCGACACCAATAGTTATCATCCTTGAAGCGTCATCATCGCCGTTGTCGCGGCTTATGGCTTCGGCCTCACCACTGCTCGTCGTATTCGTTAATTGAGCCAGTAGCGTCGCATAGACTGCCATGAAAAACTGCATCCGTGAGACCTTTTGCTGCCGCACTGTCTCCCTGATTTCTGCGGACACGGCCGAGCTAAGGCGGAAGACGCCTTTGTGTTGAGACCAAGAGACAGGAGGGCTGTTGCTACGGTCGGCGAGCTGGCAATCTGGAAGGTTAAGGACTGGCATAATGGGCACTGCGTGGTTGTTGTACTGCGAGGTCCAGTAGGCAATGTCAGCATCCAACCGTCCTTGTTTATAGTCGGCGCGCTGCCTGATGGCAATCTTGGAAAACTGAGGAACAGTCGCGGAGAGCCCCGCGCCGTCGTAAGAGGCAGATAATTCAGACATGAGCAAAGATGTGGTCGCACCATCCCCGGCTAGCCGATGATAGGCCACCGTGAGAAGATGACGGTGGCCCGATGACCAGTAGAAATCCACAAGTTTGAATGGCCTGCCAGACCCAAGGTCGTACGCTTCCTCATGCAGCTGCTTCATAGCCTCCTCGGCTGCGGCTTGATTGGCGACCTCTTTGCAAATCAAACCCCATGTTTGCGTCTCCAGGATAACTTGCTGTAGATCGTCGCCCTCGTGGGGCTCGAGGTCGTCGAGAAACGCAGTCCGCAGTATCTCGTGTCTGCGTAGTACCTGGTCCACGGCAGTGCCGAGTCGTTTCAAATCTATGTAGCCCTCGAACAGGTATGCGATGGTGTTATGGAAGATGGTATGATCGTGCGAGAGCTGCTGCTGTAGTTTCCATGAATACGCCTGCCCTAACGACAGCGGATATCGACGGGAGATCTTTGCGCTAGCTTCGTCTTTCCCGCTTGCGTATGAAGCCACGCTGCTGCTGGCAGAGCTCACCAGCGACTTATCCGATGCCGATGGTGAGTCTTCACTGTTCAATGTCGGACTCTGGTAGCCTTCTAGTTCAGAAGCAATCAGAGGTATGGCGTCACGTCCAAGTCGTTTGACGGCTGCCTCGGCAACGTCTTCAAGAGAAGCACCACCAAGCACTAGCAAAATCGGTATATCGACCAATAGCTCTTGGGAGAACCTGCAGGGAAATGTCAGCCGTCTATATATACCTATATGATGTCGGTTCGTGGGTCGCCAAGTTCTTCACAGGTGCCTTTCAAGAGCTCACTTGTCCCAGCGCCACAGCATGATGAGCGTCTTGAGTGTGTAGAAGATGGATGGGCAAGTCTGATATAAGATGGTGGGTCGCGTCTGCCTTGAGGGGAATCTCTCTCACGTACCATGCGGATACTGCGAAAGCACCGAGTGAGTCTATGCCCTGGTCAAGGAGTGGGACACTAGGATTAACACTTTGATCCCGAGGAATAAGGAGGATGTCGCGTGTCTTTTGGGCAAGCCCATCTTGATAAAACACACAAATTAGAGTCGTTTCATCTGACCAAGTACAGGTTGGGGTGTTCCCTGGTATTCGACTTACCTATGATGGCCTCTTTGGCCTCGTTCATTGTTGCTGCTTCGCGCAGTCGGTCTTTTATCGAGACTCTCCTGGCTGAGGACCCTTGGTCCTCATGACTCGATTTGTTTTCGGGTGTTCGAAGATGACCAAAGCGAGGGTTATGCCACAACTTGATGGAGTCTTTGTACTTTGCCTCGAATACCGGGAAGCCCGTCATGACCTCAGTATCGGACATATCGGTGACTGACAACCGGGTGACCTTGCCTTCGTCCTGCCTGAGTGCCTGCTGTCCTGAGACAATGGCTTCGGCAAACAGTCTGTGGAACTCTCCTTCCGAGAGCTTGCCCCAGTCGCTGAACTTAAGAAGTTGCTCTTCCAGATGGCTTCGGGTAAGATATCCGACGCCCATAACGGCACCCAGATGAATCGTCGAGGCCTAAAGGCATTAGCACTTTACTTCCATCCCCGCCCCTTCTTCCTTTCTTTCCCGGGGCAAACTAGGGCGGCGGAGCGCTGATAGAAGTCGACTTACCGTAAGTCCCTTGGTCCGCCGGTGCTGTGCGAGGGCTTGCAAATAGGCATTGGCCGCATTGTAGTTGCTCTGGCCAGGATTCCCGCCCACGGAAGCCGCAGACGAGAACATGACGAAAAAGTCCAACTGGGCTCCCGGGGTGGCATCACAGAATCGGTCATGCAGAAGCCGTGCGCCAATCACCTTGGAGTTTAGCACCGAATTCATATCCTCCAAGCTCATATTTTGGAATATCGTGTCACGGAGGACCAAAGGGCCATAGGCAATGCCTCCGATTGGCGGCAAAGCCTCGCGGATCATAGACAGACCCACATCTACGGCTTTCTCGTCGGACAAATCCCTAGACAGTGGGACCATCTGTCAGTATCCGAGGTTGTTTGGGTAGGGGACGGAATATGGATGACCGACTGCCTAAACTCACATTGATAGAATTGTGACATGACCGCCAAGCTCTTCCATCTCTTCGATCCATTTACGATCCGGGACTTCAGGGTGACGACTGGATAGAACGACGTAGCGACCACCATGAGTGATAATCCACCGGGCCAATGATCGGCCCATTGTTTTGGCGAGTCCTGCAAGAAGGTATGTCTTGTCTGGAGCAAGCAAGTTCCCAGAGTCAACAGGGCGAAGGCGCGCTTGAACTTTGCCATCGGGCCTCCAGTCAACAACGGTTGTGAGGTCCTTGAGGGCTTTGTTGTCCTGTATAGCAGCGACCTTGATAAATGCTGCTTCTGCTATGTGATCATGGGCAGTTCCTGAGGACGCGCGAAGAGCCTTCTCAACAGCCATAGTAAAGTCACGACAGTGAGCATCTCCATACGGCGTGCCGGACCCGCGCTTCGCGAAAAAGTGAGCATAGCCGTACTTGACACAATGTGGTGGTTGGTTTCTGGCTATGCGACGGCCGAGTGTGGCGGCTTTGAGATCTGTCGCAGGTGAGAAGTCACAATAGACAGACGCTCCCACAGTGACCATTTTCTGCAGCGCGATGTCCGATACCCATGGATCTAGATGCATCCACGTGGAGCCTGAATTGTGGTCTAGCCCAGCGAGTTTTTGACTGGAGACATTGTAGACCTGAACATTCTTTTCCTTGGCTTGTTTTGCGATGGCATCCACGCAGAAATCCGGTGTCTCAAACAAGAGAACACTCGTGCCAGGGACAGCGCTGTTCATGATCTCTTGGCTAATGAGAGAGGCCACAACATGGAGCAGAATACAGTTGTCTCCAGATGGCAAATTAAAGACACGGCTAGCTGGAACACAGACGACAGATGCGTTGCTATCTGCCAGCACCAATGCGGGTGTCTTGGTTTCTGTGGAGAAACCCTGGCACAGGTGGAGGAAGCCAAGATTGCCGACGCGGATAGCGCCAGTGAGGGCGAAGTGAACCCGAACCTGAACTAGACATCCATGTACACTCGAGAATGAGGATGGCGCAGATGGTGGGAAAGGGCCAACCATTGTGTCTGTGAGCTCGAGGAACGAAGTCTCGCCATCTGGAGCGAGACTTAGACGTACGGGAGTTTCTTCCGGCTGAATGTCCACGAGAATGACACGGCGTGCAGAGTTCAAGCGGTTGTTGCGCGCTATGTCATGCTTGATGCGAGGTATCCAGGCTCGCCCGTCGACGAGGTAGACCTCGGGCTCGTGGTTCCGTACCAGACTACTGCTATCCTTGGGTAGGGTGCTTATATATTCCAGCTGAAGAAGATGCTCGACGATGACTGGGGCGTAGTTGAAATGTTCAACGTTGTCTAAGTCGATGTTCTGCACGTAAATCTCCGGATTCTCCAGATATATCGTCCGGAGGAGGCCGATGGTCATAGCTTGGCGCGGATTACGCGTGAAAGCCGCTGCAGTGACCCAGATAACGATCTTTGCGTAGCCGCCAGTCAAAAGCCACTTGGCGGCTTCGAGCTTGATGCTGTCGATATCCTCAAACATTTCGTCATCAAGCTCCGAGACCACGACGAACGTGGACCCTGGGCCCAAATGAGCTGCCTGTTTGACCACATCTTCCAACCGTTTAAGATGTAGGGATCTCCGGTAGGCCAATTTGTCTTGAAGTTTGCCCACTAAGGCTGATGATCGGTCAGAGCAGCCGCCAACAAATATCAGCTTCGGTAAGTTTGCCCCGTCGTCATGTTGACTGGACACCGTCAGGGGCGGGCTTTCCAGCCGCTCCATCTTGGGATCCATGGCGCGCGCACTGAACAGCGAATTCTGAAAAACCCAGCTCTCGTGGTCAGATGTGCGAGACTCGATTCCTGAGAACCCGGCGCGCTTCAGGATACTATCCCACTCATCATACGACACAAAAGGGTCAAGGATACGGCCGTCCTCATAGCCGGCCCACCAGTCGGGGAAGAGCCCAAAGATGTAGCTTGTGCGCAAATACTCTTTGAATGTGGCTTCCACAACGATAACATGGCCGCCAGGCTTAAGCAGAGACCTTACGTTCGTCATAGTTTCCACGAGACGCGGTGTTGCATGGAGAACAGACGAGGCGACTACCAGGTCATAAGAGTGGGGTGTAAAGCCTTGCCGCCCCTATATTGCACCCACAGTATTAGCACTTCAACTTTAATATCTAGATGAGCACAAGACGAGCTGTGCATCTCGTAGAAATTGGGTATAGAATGGGATAGGAGAGACTTGCTGGATCCTGTGTGATGTCAAGCTTCCGGAAGTCCATGCGGTCTTTATGTTGGTGGAAAGCCTCACGGGCCTTGTCGAAAAATGTTGGCGAGATGTCAGTAAAGGTGTAGCTATTGAAGCCCAGCTCGGGAATGTCGAGAATATAGCGCGTAGCTGAGCCCGTACCGCCACCTGTAGAATGGTTTGAACATTAGTAGGATGGACGTTTAAAGGTTGATTTTCAAGATAAGTAGGTAGATCTATCTTACCGATTTCAAGGATGTTCATGTTAGGGAAACGATGGCAAAGCTGGTTAACAAGATGCTGGCCATTGTTCCAACACGGTCCATTGCTGAGAGGACTAGCGTAGAACTCGCCGAGCAGACCATCCTCGTTCATCCAATGAAAAGGATTGGTGTTGTTGCGGATTGTGGACATTACATTCTCGCTGACCCTCTTGATGAGACGCACGTAGGGATGGTACCAGTTCCTGCATCTCGTTGTTAGACTCCGCTTGCAAGGTAAACTCTCATGGCCGAGGGAAGCCAAACTTACTGCTCACAGAGCTTTTCTATGTCAGCCGCTGTGTCCATTTCCCAATCTGGCTCGTAGAAGGTAGACTTCCACTCCCGAGCCTTGCCCAGCACCTGCTCGTTCCAGTGAATATACTTCTGCAGGCTGGGACTTGCTTTCCGACGGTCCTCCACTGTGAGCTTTTTCAGGAAGTCCTTCACGTAGTGATATACAATGCGCTCGATGACAGGTATCATGCGCCTGTCTTCATCAGTAGCCCGGAATTCGGGACGATCTAGGATACGATCTGGGGAATAAGGCCCCCACACCGTTTTGGTAAACATGAGATGGTCAGCTGAGGGCTCTGGTCTGTGAAGTGGATGAAGTGCAATGTTATCCACTTGAAAGAGAACAGCAGAGCTATCATCAAACACCTCCACGTCTCCGTCGGGAACCGAGTCTTCGAGAGATGAGCATGTAGCGTTGAAGAGCACGCTGACCTCGTCACGAGAGCCCAACGCGGAGGCGCAGGCTCCGGGAAACAAGGCAATTCTATCAATGTGCACGGGGATGACCGTGGACTTCAAAGCTCTGTCACCAGGGTATGAATAGGCGCCCATGACTGCCTGAAAGGCCGTATCCAGTGTGGCTGGGTGAATAACAATCTCCTGCGAGGGATTATTGGGAAACCGGTAATGCAAGAGTCGTCCCGCAGCCCTGCAATCCGCTCGTCGCAATTCGTGGATACCATGGTACTTTTTCGTATAGGCAATGCCCAGTCGTTCAATCTCCTCGTAGAACCTGTTGATGTCGATCTCGTTGGGGTGTAGTGGCTCATTCAGGCCTCGCTGCGGTGAGCTGGTCAAGGGAGAGCCAAGTGTGACGACGACGCGACCTCTGGCCGTCATGGAAGGTTTTGTCTCTCTTTCAAGAGCCGAGTCGATATTAACGTCAACCGAAAGCTGCTCGGAATCCTGGTGTATGACTTTAAGCGTAACAAGCAGCTCAGCCATGCTGTTCTTTTCATCGAAGGTCATGGCCTTGTCGATGCTCAAGTCCAGTACCTCGAGAACAGTGACGTCCACGTCTTGCCCAAGACGCTTTCTTGCTACGTACAGTGCTGCTTCCATGACCATCACGGCATAGCCGGAGGCGGGAACGACAAGTTGGGTTTGAAGGTGATGGCCCTCAAACCACTTGTCGTCCTCGGGCTTGATGAACGATTGCCATTGGAACGTCGAATCCGTGGTCGTCGGAAGAATGGAACCCAGGAGGGGATGGGGAGCCGGCCCGGCAAGGAAAGCTTTCTCAGCACGTGTTTCTGTCAAATATGTTCGCGTATGGTCCCATGAGTACCTCGGAATGGCTTTAGCCAAGCTTTTGCGAGGGTTTGCTGAAGGTGACACAGCTTTCATAAAGCTGTCAGCGTCGAGTATTTTGAAGCTAGCAAACCGTTCCCAGAGGTAGGCCATTGCTTCCGCGAATGCATCCGTATCATCCTGATCTCGTTTCATGCATCCTGTATATGGCAGTTCCGTTCCGGAAATGGTATGAATGGTTGCAACAGTGGGACGCTTCAGAGCGGGATGTGCACCGACCTCTACAGCGCAAGCGATATTGTAGTCGCGGGCAACACGCTCGACAGCCTGCGAAAAGAATACTGGCGAGACGAGGTTTGCTTTCCAATACTCGGCTGTAACGTCTGTACATTTCAAGAGTCTCCCCGGGTTCACGGATGAGTACCAAGAAACAAGGGGTCGCGAACCAAGCGCATTGGAGGCAGCGTTGGCGGCGCAGTCACAGTCGGTAAGGGCTTTGACGTATGTATCGGCAAACGGGGCCATATGGTGAGAGTGGTAGGCTTTATCGACGCGAAGGAATCTCGTGAACTTGCCTTCGTCCTTGAGGACAGATTCGGCATGTCTCAAAGCTGATAATCACACAAATGGTCAGCTCCGCCCAGATCAGTTTGAGTATACGGCCAAGTCCCCGAGCGCGCATACTGGAAACATGGGGAAAGAAGAGAAGAACGCTGACTGACCTTCAGCATCGCCAGACAGCGTCACGCTGGTGGGAGAGTTATACGCCGCAACGCAGATTCGTCCTTCGAAATCTTCAAGACTGCAAATCTCCTTGGCATCTTCGTGTGTGATATCGGCCGCCAGCATCGCACCTTCGGTAGGGCTATGAGAGCCAGCGTGTGGAGTGGCGACTGCTAGTCCGCGTAAGTAAGCGATGCGGATGGCCTGGAAAGGCGTGATGTATCCCGCAGCAGCCGCACAGGCAATTTCCCCTGAACTATGACCGACAATAGCCGCGAACCTGACGCCTGCAGCCTGCAGCAGTCTGATAAGCACAAGCTGAACGGCAGCGCAGAGCGGCTGCGAGAACCTCGCCTCCGCTGCGTTGGTCCAATCTCCTTCACCAGACAACAACTGCCGGAGCTTCCACAGGGGACGGTATTGGGCTGGAAGCGCCTGCAAGGAGGCATCCAACTCATCTATGATGTCTCGCGTCCAAGGGATGGAGGCCAGAAGTGACTTGCACATGCCTGACCACTGTACACCCTGTCCGGTAAAGACGCCCAAAATCTGGGGTTGGTCCTTGTTGCCGCGGTTGAAGCTGAAGTCTCTGCCCAAGTTGTCATTGATGGCAGCCTCGAGCGCGAGACATACCCCATCGCGGGTATGGCAGGAGATAGCGTGCCGGACGGGCAGCACAGCCTGCTTCCGCAATAATGTCCAAGCTAGATCTGCCATATCAATGGCCGGATTTGACTTGAGAAACTGGAGCATGGCGTGCATGTAATCTTTGAGAGAGCGCTGTGACTTAGCCGACAAGACGAGAGGCATGCCGTATGTAGTGCTCGATGGCTGATTCTCTACGTCGCAGGATATCGACTTTTGGGATAAAGACTGCCGCGTACCGGAACCCACGTACTCTTCGATGATGCAATGTGCGTTCGTTCCACCAAAACCTACGTATCGACTTTGTCAGCCTTTGAGTTTATCAATGACAGTATCTGGAGCATACCAAACGAATTCACACTAGCTCGGCGTGGGTAGCCTGGTGCGACTTGTGGCCAAGGCTGCGTTTTCGTTGGGATGCAGACGTGACGGTAGAAGGGCTGCACAGCAGGGCTGAGCATTTCAAAATGTCGATTGGGTGGAATCGCACCATGCTGGACCGCAAGGGAAGCTTTCAGGACGCCGGCTAGTCCAGCAGTCCCTTCACTATGGCCAATGACTGTTTTCACGCTACCGACCAGCAGATCCTGGGGTTGTAAGGTGTCCAACACCTTGTCCCCAAAGAAAGCCTTGTTGATAGCCTCCGCTTCTTGAGGGTCGCCTGCCGGCGTCCCCGTTCCTGAATTGCGTGTTAGTTTAATGGTTCAAAACTACCCTTCGTGGCTATAAAGTGAACTGTGACTCACCGTGGGCCTCAAAGAATTGAGGACGATCACCAATGCGACTCAAATCCAGTCCCGCCCTCGCATAAGTGTCTTGGATCAATGCCTCTTGAGCCAGGTGACTCGGCATTGTGATGCCAGTGGTCTTGCCGTCTTGGTTCACGCCCGTCTCACGGATAATGCTCTCAATATGGTCACCGTCACTCAGAGCTTGTTGCAGAGTCTTGAGTACCACAGCTGCAACGCCTTCCTGTTCGTGTTGTGAATCAGGTTAGACATGCACATCCAAGACGCAGATTATAAGCAATTGAAACACTAACCCCTCTCGCATAGCCATCGGCGGCAGCATCCCACATTCGCGATCTGCCTGTCGGCGAGAGCATACTCAGTTTGCTCTCTGAGACGTAACTCACTGGTGCCAATTTTTAAGTCAGTATCGCGAACTTCAAGTCAGGGGATTGTGTCCAAGTTGTTCCATACAAGGAGACATGATCATATTTACTCCGGCAGCCACCGCGACTCTACTTTGGCCACTCCTCAGTTGTTGCACCGCATGATGCACTGCAACCAGAGACGAACTACAAGCCGTATCAATAGTCATCTGCGGATGCGAAGTGAGAATCAGCCGCTGTGTCAGCAACCAGATGGATACACGAACTTACACTAGGACCGTGCCAGTCGAAAACATATGACAGTCGGTTCGAGGCAATGCTCGCAGCAACGCCTGTGGCGAAATAAGTTGGCATGTGATGCATATCCTGTGTTTTTATCGTCTCAAAGTCGTGAGTCATGAGGCCAACGTAGACAGCCGTATCGGAACCTTGAAGGTCTTGTACAAGACCGGCAGAGGAGAGTGCATCATATGTCGTCTCCAAAAGGAGGCCCTGCTGAGGGTCCATGCTCTTGGCTTCGCCCGCGTGTATATTGAAAAACGGCGCATCAAAGCCGCCGAGGGGTTCCTTGAGAAAATACCCATATCTTGAGTTCGTACTACCATGGTGCATGCCATTGGAGTTGAAGAACTTTTCAGCGCTGAAGCGCTGCTTGGGTACCTCACTCCGAAGGTCCCCAGGCTGCAGCAGAAACTCCCAAAACTTAGACGGGCTGTCTACACCACCAGGAAAGCGACAGGCGCTGCCGATTATCGCGATAGGCTCGCTGTCGTACATCTTGACACAAAATGGTGAAGATAGTCTAGGGGCTATGTTAGCACTCTAGCACAACACCGACTCTTAATGACCGGCAGACCGACCACGAGAATATTCTTTCTTTGCCAACTTGATTGGAGATGAACAGGGCTTGCCTCCGACTGAGAGAGTTTGGAATGTCGAGTATTTCACAGAGTCACATCTACACCACCACAAAAACAACAATACTTTACTTGGGAAGATTAGACTGAAATATGAGGCTTGGTCAACTAACGATGTTGAAGCTGTCACACAGTCCGCGTCTTGATTAACTCTACTTACTTTATATGAAGCTACAGTATGAATTTATACGAAACATATTGCTATACCCGACTTTAGCAACAAGTTATATGAGTGCTGTGTTCGTTACATTCCGTCAAAGATAGTTCTACGTGCTTAAAGTATTAGGTTTTAATCATGATTTAGTACTATTAAAAAGTATGCCTTCTGTTATTTTAACTCCTTTACTAGTTATAGTTTGATCTTTGTGTTGTATCTTAAGCTTTTGGGGCACTCAGTGTGCGCAACTATATGCTATATACTTGCGGTAGTTGTATATGTAGTACTACCAAGCCTATCATCTTACAGTATACTTAGTTGCTCTAGCCTACTTCGAACATGCCGATAAAGGATCTTCTCCATAAAGTACCATACGAAATCACCCAGAAGTAAAATTTAAATAACTGAGTTAGTACTGAAAGTTAATTGGTAAACGAGCTGAATTCAATAGAATGTCCCTAGGGGTCATGTGTTGCTGTGCTGAGCTGAAAATCTCTTCTTTGTAGTGGAGACTTGAAAGAGAAATTTTAGGAGAGAGGAGGAAGTTAAAAGTAATGTTTGTGTTACGAGCAGGTCAGGGCACTGGTTGGGCCGTAACAGTTAATTACATAAGGTTGGTAACTAGGCTTAATAAAAGCTAATAATTAGTGTCTTGGGAGCCTTGGAAACCATTATAAAAGAAGCCTTTTACTATTAAAATATACTTTTAGTCAGTTAACTAGTGAGAATATTAAACAATTTCTAGAGACCTACTGTAAACCCTATCTTTTACTCTCCCTGCTGGGTATATGGAGAGCAGCCTGAGTAAAGCTAGAAGTCTCAGATTAATAAGTCAAAATTTTACTTTCCGTACAAACGTAGGTATAGAGCATTAATTCAGCCTATGATAGGGTTTATATACACTTTAATCTAGAAAGCATAGAACACTCATTGAGGCTAGGATTAAGTTTATATAAACTATAACTCAGATCGACATAGGTTGAGCAACTTGAATATACATCGAATCTTATATAAAATAGAATTTTAACCACCTACGCGTCTTCTAGAAAAACGTGCACGCTTTATGCTACTATTAGTAGGCACGTTTTATTGCAAGGCACGTAGCACCAATTAACTTTGACCTTTCTTAGAGAGACTAAAACTAGTTTAAACCTAAGAGGAAATTCAATTCTTATTACCCACCATTGGTGCGAGAAAGCTCTGAAAGCCTGAAATCTCCTGTTTCGAGCCCACAAGCTGCAGGTAATACCGCTTCACCGGCCGGCGAGAAATCCAGGCGGCGCAGCATTTGTACAAAGGCAAAGTGACAGGGAAAGCATGCAGGTAATCCGGAAACGGAAGAACTACTGACAAGTCACACAACACGAGGCACACCATGGGAGGAGAAACAAGCGCTCAAGGGCAACAAGGTTGTAGCGTCTACAGGTTTGGGTATTACATGGCTATGTTATGGGAAGAGAAGATTAATTAGAAGAGAGCAAGACTTGTTCTTAGCATACATAGGAGGCTCTGAACACATACCCTTCACTAATGCCAAAGCCGATGACCGTCCTGCAGTCAGTAGCATTTGCAAGCTATTGTTAAGAACCATAACCTGAACGGTCTTTGGCAAATACGCTCAACATGGCGCTACAATGCAATCAATTCTCGCCTCCATTCACTCAAAAAGCCCTGGTAATGAACGAAAAGGAACAGGTCTGCGTATGGGACGAGGCTCCTTGTCCCGTCTTGCCCCCCGATGAAGCTCTCGTGCGCATCGAAGCTGTTGCTCTTAACCCGATTAACACCAAAATGAAAACAGACTTTGCCAACCCATTTGCGATCATGGGTGCCGATTTTGCCGGCACAGTTGTCGCAGTGGGTTCGGACGTGGTTGGTGTTGCTGTAGGTGATCGCGTATGCGGAGCGCAAAATGAGATATTCAAAGCTACGCCAGAGCAAGGGGCGTTCGCACAGTATACCGTGACCCGGCGCAAAATGTGGATGAGGATTCCAGATTCGTGGTCGATAGAAGCCGCATCGTCACTACCTGTGGGAATATGTACCGCTGGTTTAGCCATGAAGTCGCTAGGCTTACCGTTACCCAACGAACCTGTTGCGAAACCTAGCGCTGTTCTAGTCTACGGCAGCAGTACTGCAACGGCTACCATTGCGATGCAGCTGCTAAGGCTGTGAGTCTCACCGCGTCTCGAACCTTTTAATACCTGGTCGATCATCTCGGCGGTGCCCAACTGACCACTTACTCTGTCCGCAGTGCAGGCTTAATACCAATAGCGGTTTGCTCTCCAAAGCACTTCGAGTTATCAAGAAACAATGGTGCACAAGCAGTATTTGATCGCTTTGACAAGGACGTTGCACAAAGAATTGTAACCAGTCCCTGCTCCTCACTTTCCTGTTACACCCGACGAAATCTCGGAGGCTAATCGTTTTCCCGTGGCCAAGAAAATTTACACACGAAATAACTTGAAGTATGCGCTGGATTGCATTTCCAACGTCGAGTCTACAACAGTGTGCTTCAACGCGATAGGACGTACAGGAGGGAGATATGTTGCGCTCGAGCCATTCCCTAGGCATGCCGCAAATCGAGCGGTAGTCACAACGGACTTTGTTATCGGGCCTTGCATCTTTGGCGAAGGCTGCACGTATCCAGCGCCATACGCACGCGAGCCAGATGAGAAGCTTCATGCTTTTGGCGTTGAGTTGTGGGAAATTGCGCAGAAGCTGGTGCATGAGGGCAAACTTCATCATCACCCCGTCCGAATACTAGACGGCGGATTCGATGGTATTCAGGAGGGCTTAAAATTGCTCTCGAAGAAGTGTGTATCAGGAGAGAAGATTGTGGTTCGCATGGAAACCTAATGTCGCAGCTAAGATTTAGGATCCAGCGGGCGTCTTGTTTTGGATGCTTTTCGTTACCAAAACGTATAGCTAAATGATCGGCTTAATACTGCCGAAAAGACCCATCATGGTTTGCGTTAAAATATTTTGAATTATATTTTCCTCTTCTCCCAAATACTCTCAGGTGTATGCTTTCGAGGCCATGGTAAGCTTCTCAGGGTTTGCTTCTTGCCATAGGTCGGCATGGCTTTAGCCAATTACAGGCTCTCCGAGTGTAGTCAACACGAATGTCTTCATTTCAGATAAGCTCAAGCCCCGAGAATATATCGAATAGGTTTGGTCTCACTTAAGATTTCAAGGACAGACTTTAGGGCCAACTATCCATTCGTCATTTCTCAATGCGAGGCTTCCAAGGGATTAAATTTTCGATTCATCTAGATGTTTCTTAAAGTATCTCGTGACAAACTGAATATCTTCCAATGACTTTGGTAACTCGTGTCCACCTTCGAATTCGTGGAACTCAGAGCTCTGAGAGGAAAAGTGCGTCGTGAACATCTGCCAAGTCTGTGGATAGCCATACACATCCTTCCGCCCACCAAGATGCAATGTCGGGATCTTGATCACGATCTCGTTCTCGTCAAGGCGCTTGGTCGCACAAAAGTCGCGCATATACTGCGTCATTATTTCCCTGTAGCCGGAGCAGATCAGAACCGCGGTTTTCAGCCTTGGAAGCCAGGGTACAAGGCCGGCTTGCTGCTCCCAAAGTAGTATAGTGGCTGCGATCGCCCCTTGAGAGAAGCCCAAAACACCTACGACCTCTATCGACGGGCTATTTGCTTTCAATTGATCCACTGCTTCTTTGATGCTGTCGTTAAATGTGGAAATTTCTTGCTGGACACTTTCGCTGACCGCTAACGTCTCGTCCTTCTCGACACATAGTCGTACGTTATTGTCGACATAGCGGAACCATGCCAGGTACGGTTCCATGCCGGCAAAGAACGGCAGCACCTCTGGGCCTGCCTCTGAAGGATGCGGTGCAGTAGCAAAGAAGAACACGAACTCCCCTTTCATTGTGGCACGTATCCGGGAGGTCTGGAAGCGGAAGATGTCAGGTGATGATCCGCCTCCATGAATGCAAAGAATGGCGCGACAGGCGGGGTTTCCAGCTGCGTGGGGCATCTTTTTGTCGAAAAAACCTCAACTGGCAGTGTAAAGATCCTGATATTTTATATGACAACGCGCAAGGCAGTGAAATGCTCGTGCCGATAAATTTGCCAGTTATCCGTGTATATGGTGGTGTGAAGCATTGAAGGCTCAATATATTAGTCCACTGATTACATGGCTTAGGGTGTGCACGGCCGCTGCCCATGAGTCGTGATTAGTGGCCAGGGGGCATTTCCGGCGTGCATAACTCCTCCGGAAGGGTTTCCAGGCTCGGATGGCTGCTGAAACTAGAAAGTCAACTTTATGCAATATATCTTTCTGAATCCCCCACATCCTGTTGAAGCACGTAATTTGGCATCGATATCCATGCGTTGATTGATTGTTCTGTTGTGTGTCTCTTCCTCTCTGTGGCCCACGGCCATCGCCGATCGGCCCTTTATGGGGCAAATGTTCGGATGATTGTTGTCCCTTGTTTTGCGTGGAGAAATCCATCCTGGACATGACTAGTGCATTTACGGCCAATCGCCCCACTTTGCGCCTGAGAGCACGCGGCCATTTCGCCTACTTTGACACTGTTAAATGTGGCGGAATTACACGTGAATTAGCCGGCGAATGCACGGCTGCCCTACGGCGAATTGTCAGGGAATAGGCAGTAAATTAGCCCCACGTTTAGGGGTAACTTCACTAATAATATCGCTAGGATTAGCTAGGGATTTCCTAACTAAGGAATAGGGGTTTTTTCCCTATTATTATAGGATTTTACTATAGTTATATAATATATAATTGAATTAATTAATTAACTATTATAATCCCTCTTATTTAATAATTAATAGTTTAAAATGTATATTTATAATAACTAATATACTTATTTACTAATTAAATACTATTATAATAATTAATAAAAATAATAATAATAAAGTAACTATCTAATAATTATATAGTAATTAGTTTATATAGCTTAATATTACTTAAGTAAAAGTAAAGTGTTATAATCTCTAGGAGTATATTAACCTAAAGGTTATAGTAGTAAACTAATTAATCCTTAAGATATATTTAAAGAAACTAATAAAGCTATTTATAATATAATATTTATATACCTTAACTAAGGATAAGCTTACTACTTACTAAGAAGTTACTATAGCTATAGTAATTACTAAGATATCTTAGTAAGTAACTATATAGCTATATATAGTAAGAAGTAAGGCTATTATAGCTATACTTAATAGGCTTATATATAAAACTAAATATATAATAACACTAAGTAATCTTAACTTATATAATCTTATATACTTAAATAACTAAATAAGCTATTATTATAAAGAAGTATATAAGTATACTACTTAGTAAAAAGATATTAAAAATATAGCTAATATAGCTAAATCTACTATATTTATAGACCTTTAGGAAAGATATTATAAATTTACTAATTTACTAGCTAAATAGCTTAATAAGTTTAGTATAGTAGTAAGAATAATTAAAGAAAAATATAAATTATACTTATAATAAGTATAATAAAGTGTTAGTAAAAGCCTAGTAAAAGGCCTTAACTACTAAAAAAGATCTTACTATATAGCTTAATAAATAAAATATAGTCTATAGTAAATTAGTATAAGTTAATTTACCTAAATACTAATAGCTATTTATTTAGTTTAATAACCTTATTACTACTTTATAAAGTGGCTTACTTAGCTTTTAGCTAGATTTATATATAGTAACTAGTAAAATAATAAGTAATTAAAATAATCTTAACTAGTAATCTTTTTATAAGATAGTACTAAAAAAGGTTAAAGCCCTTACTAATAACTTATTATATTATAGCTAAGTAGGCTATAGTATATTTAGCCTAACTAAAAGTAATAATAATTATTAGGTATTAAGCTTTAATACCTTATAAAGCCTATAAATAATATAGTAGAATTAAATATAAGTATAATATATATTTTATAGTATTAATAATACTATATATACTATATACACTCTATAACTATATAGCTACTCTAAATTCTACTATATATTATAAAAGATAAGAATATTACTATATAAAGAATAGTACTTCTAAGAAGAGCACTATTCTCCTAAGGAGTTACTTTAGTAGTAAAACACATTAAGTGAACTATATAAGTAAAATGTATTAGATTAATAACCTAACTAAATAATAACCTAATAAACAAACCTAGTTAATAACTTAGAATCTAGAAGAAGTCTCTAGAAATCTAAGATAACCTTAGGAAAATAAGTATAAATAATCCCCTTTTCTCCCTCTATCTAGACAGTTAGTCTTTAGTTCTATAAGTAAGAAATAT